CCTGTTATCCGGTTCTACTGATTATCTAAAAATACAATTTTACATAATATGATCGTCTCTAGATATAATATAATATAATTCAGATCGTGGGTGTTTAAAATTATTGCAGTTAAAAAAATTTAATTCGCGACGTTTTGTCTCCATACAGAAAAAAAGTTCTTGATTCTTAAACTAAAAAATTTTTCTTGGCTTTTAATTAAATTGATTCAAGTTTAATTTATAAAAAGTTTAAAATTTTTTAAAGTTTTAATTTATAGAAAGTCATTCTACAAAAAAATTTTTCTTTAATTATTTAAGAAAATTAAATTATTGATAAATAATTGTTTTACGAGAATTAAATACTTTGAGGAATAAAAAATAAATAAAAACAACGACTTATTTTTTATACAATAAAGTATTTAATTATTGATAAATAAATTAATTTTTAAAAAAATTTTATAAAATGACTTTTTATCAATAATGACATGCAATATTTCTATTGTATTTTTCAGAGCTTGATAAAGTCTAAATAAATATAGCAAATTTAACAAGAGTTTAATTATTTTGACAATAATTCCAAATATCCGTGATCTGAATTTTATTAAATAATTTTACTTTTTTTTTTGTCATCAAAATTTACACAAGTTTTATTTGAACAAACTTTTAATTAAACACTTAAAAAAATGTAATGAGTATCTGATAATAGTTGTCTTTACATTAGAACAAAAGTTGGGTTTAATTATTTTTTTTTTTTTTTAACAGAAAAGAATAGTAGTTTAGCGTAAGCTTATCTCGTAACCGTAACATTAACAGAATAAGTGTAAGCGACAGTGAGTATTTCTGGCAGCACGCCGACGTATTACTTATTCTTAAAATAAATTGTTGACGAAATAAGGGAGTGTAACCGTCTTGACACTATACTATTTATTTTGTTCTCTTTATTTACTGTCACGTTTATATTAAATTTATGAACAATATCATTTATAAACTTTTTTTATTTTTTATCCTAATTGTTGTGCAATAAATAGTGCCGCCAATGTAGCAACACCCGGTAAATATTTGTCACAGATTTAATTAAAACATGTAATTTGTCTTATTTCTGATGCATCTGCTTACTCTGACTAATAATTATCAGGCGTATTTAATGGTCTAATTTTGTTGCATAGTTAAGATATTTAATTAGATTTTATTTTCTGAGATAGTCATCATGTGTTTGATGATATTGAGCTTATATAAACTTAAATTTTAATAATAAAAATTTTTGTTACCAAGAAAATAAAAAGATAATCTTAAAATTTATACAGTTTACAGAGGATTTTATTTTAAATTCTCAAAAACATTACACGGGTAACATGAAAATGTTTATACATACTTTTGTATAGATGTATACGCGATAGTTCAATTCGATATTCGCTGTTAAATCCAGAGAAACGAATAAGATGACTGGATAACAGTCATATTCATCCGTGTACGAAGAATCGAATCGCTTTTATGACACCTATATCTTTTTGCAACTTCTACTATACAACGCAAGTATGAGTGCTAGTTCGAGTGCCCCTTTCGACTTAACTGTAGATTTATATTATATGTATGTATAATACATATATGTATATATAGTTGAGCTAGAATTACTATTGGAAATCCATCCGATGGAATCTTAGAGTACCTTCCTTTTTTTTTTTTTGATGCGCTTCTTAGGAAATCGCATTGTAATGCATACGTCATAAGTCACTAAGTTACCAATTTCGTGAATATTATCAGAAATTTAAATATTTATGCTTTTTGAATCGTACAATAAATGTAGCAGTAGAATAAACTGTTTATTTATTATTGGAAATTTTTATTTGTTTTTGGAAATCAAAATATAATTTGGTCTTTTAAAATTTCATTCAGATATGAAAGGTTAAAAATTTTTTTCAAAAATTAATTAAATCCTTTTTGAAATATCTTGAATTAGAAATTTATTTTTTTCAAGATTTTTTTTTGCTATTTCAAATAAAGAATTTTTTTTCTTATATAAGAATTAGTTTGGTAATTTGTAGAATATGTTCAAGTAAAAAATTTTTTTAACAAAAAAAATTTATATTTTAATAAAAATTTCAAAGTTTTTTAAAGACAATTAATTATTTTATTTTAATTAATTAATTATTAAATTTAAATTATTAATTATTTTTAGTTTGACAATTATTTTTAGTTAAAGAAGTATATTGTATCGATTGAAGATAAAGATCTCATCAGCCAAGAAATCAAAATTCAAGACAAAAAATTTTTGAAGCAAAACAACCGATTATCTTACAATAATCTTATTATTATTTTTTTTTTTTTATTATATATATTTAAATTACAATCTGTTATTTGTTAACAATAAATAATTTTTGTGGTTTTATGTACATGACGGGTATTTAGGACAATATTATTGAAAACGATTTTTTAAATCAAACAATTTTGATTTTGAACAATCTTATTATTTAAAGAAAATTTTTTATCAGCGTTGAAAAAAAAAAAAAAGTAATAGACTCAATTAATCTACGCTTTTTTAAAAAAAATTAGTTCTTATGATAAAAAAATATTTTTTGTTCAGAGATAATAACTATTTTCTGCGGTATCTTACTTTTAATATTACATCTGAAATATTTAACTGGAAGTTGATTCTCGGGTTGGTAAAAACATGCTCGTTATGAGAAGTAATATATATATTTTTTAATACTATACACAATATAGTAGTAAGAGTATGTAGTGTCGAGAAAACGAGTTGGTAGAACTTAAATTATGCACGTACAAGGGCGCATTTTAAAGAAGACCAAAGCGTATATATATAGCATAGTATAGTACACCAACAACACGGTACAGCATCATTGGTGGTACTTAGCACCCCTGCACTATTACACGCCACCCACCAGGCTCCTTCCTTCACTATGCACTAGTTATATGTTATGTAGCACAGCACAGTAAAGTTAGATAGAGTTGAATATAAAGGAAAGAAAGAAGATAGATAGATAAAGATGTGACCTCTACTCAAACTCAAGATGGTCTTTATATATATACAGTACGATAATATCACTGTAATGGACACTCTTGGAACATGATGGCAAAAACACCACTATCAAGTCGTTATACGTTGTACGTTATATCTACGACACTTGCCCATTATCGTATGTCTATATTTCGCCATTATGCCTGTGCTGTGGTGTACAAGTGTACACACTTCACATCCCACACCTTGACCCTTTACCATAATTTTGCATAAACGCGGATCTACCTCTGCTATTTTGTTTTTAACATGTTGAAATATTTATGTTTGTATGCTCTATACGGTTAATGATGTCTTTTTACGGAAAAAAAAATTTTATTTGGTTTTAAAGAATACTTAATAATGTATTATTGTTTTAGTTTTTATAGAATTGATGAAAGTCAAACTTTGAAAATTATAAGAGTAAAATTTTCTTTAATTAAATTGTAAAAGAAGCTTAAAAAATTCTTATTAAAAATTATCCCAGAAAAATTTTTACTTTGAGTAAACACTTGGAATTATTGACACTGATAAACTTGAACTAATTAAATTAATAAAAAGTATATCTCGGTCAACTTGTAAATGAATTTAAAAAACCAGATGTGGATATCCTAAAAATAATTTTAATGAAATTTAAATCCATAAATAAATAAGCATATGTAAATAATGATAGTGAAATAATTTAGTAGTAGGATAAAATATTCATGAAATAACTTGTCTGCTTGAGTAGTTATTGGATGACCTCTCTAAGCTTACTAAAGTTTGATAATATTCACTCTATAACTACTGCAGTTTAAATAATTTACCATTAAATTACCATTTAGCGTATTTCAATTGATAACTTCTTACAATTTTCCCATTTACTGTCTTAAGGTTGTACGGACACTAATGCACTTTTGAAGATCAGAAGCTAATTTTTTGATATGTTATGAATTGCTATCTCATACGTCTAAATTAATTTTTTTGAATAGATCTGTCGAAGGGTTATCCTTTAATAAATTATTAAAAAATTGAAATTTAACATGTAGCCTATAGAGACTATTGGCGGATTGCACATATATCGATTTATGTGACTGCCTCATAGGAAGATTAAAAAACAAAAATCTTCTATTTCAGTCAACCAACTTTCGTAGAATACGTTAAAAATAAAATGAAAATTTTCTGCCGAAGGCTTTTAAAGATATTTTAATGCAAAAGATGAGAAATTCACGAAAATTTCAGGCCGACATATTTAAAAATAAACAAACCACGTGATTCAGCGCAGTGTGGCAACGTTGCACAGAATAGAACACGCGAATTTTGAATTTTAGTAATTCCTGTGTATTTTTATGGGTTATGTTTTTCAACTCAACACTACACAGTGAGATAAATATAAACAGCTGTTAATTGCGGTGTTGTCAGGTCCAAGTTTTGTGAAAAAATACTTGAGTCAAACGTTGACTATTTATTGTTGTTGTTAATTAAATTATTAAATTATTTTATTTAATAATAATGTAAGGTAACGATTAAATTATAGTAATGAATTTTCGTATTTAAATTTTTAAGTTTAATGAAAAAAAAATTTATATTCTACTATGACTTACGGGGTACTGTCCGTGCAACCTTAATTTAATTTATTTTACCTCACAAAATTCCCCAAATATACAATTATCTGTCCATGAAAAATAATTAACTATTTATTATTAACCAATTAAAAAAAAAATAAATGAAATAAAATATTTGTTGTTGCAGATTGAAAACCAGTCAAAAGTAATTTGAGAGGCAAAGAAAACTCGTAACTGGAAACTGTGATGAGTAACCGAGACTTATATACTTATACACTGAATTTAAGATAGTTTTCTTTAGTCTTGGCAAACGAAAACTTTTCAACGACTGCTCCTATATTCTTCCTATCTACTGCACTATACTACACTGTAACAGTATAAGAAAACCGCAAGTGAGTACTGAGTATACTGAGTAGTGAGTATAGTGAGTACTCAGCTTTATAACTAAAACTCGCGATATTCTGAAGACACGTGAGTTGACTTTGGTTGAAACTCTGGACAACGTGAAATGTCCATCGACAAGTTGGAATCGCGAGGAAGTAGTTTCAAACCACCTGATATTCTCAGATAGCTGTGCCAATAAATCTCAAAGTAATCCTAAGAGTAATAGTCGTAATAATAATAACAACAACAACCTTACCAATAATTACTTAAAAATATCAACTGGGTTCAATGTTGATGAAGACGATGGGACCAATCGCGCGAGATCTGGAGCGATATCGCGTAAATTCGATGAAACTTGGGTAGATGCAGAAAAGCATAGCACGCCGTCGAAAGAATCCATTTCGTATATTAGTCGTAAAAACCCCTCGTGCAGCGTCCAAAGTTATAGTTATAGTTCATTGAGTTCAAGTAGCTCTTGCGGAGAAAGAAGCCGTCCCCCGGACATAAAACGTAGTGATTCATTTCTGAAGCGTTTTCGTGAAAATTGGCCCGGCTGTGAAAAATTCATCAAGAACATCCCGAGTTACGGGAAGAAACCTGATCTATTCATCAAAAGTAAAGACACAGATCACCCAGTGCCTCCTGTCAGAAGAAAAAAGCACAAAACAGAAAGCGGCATTTGTAATACCGATAATAATTTAATAATCCCCCAAAATCTGTCACTACCCAATGAACAAAAGGATAATTTAGTTACTGTTAGTTCAAAAAAGGAGGACACCATCGCAAACTATAATACTGACAATAGGCTTCTGTTGATCAACGCAAGTTACTCTAGTCACAAGGGAGGCACGTCTTCGCAAGAGAGGGAGCATCGTCAAGAGTTTTCCCCTGGGTTACAAGGCTATTCGACTAGTCAACTACAATCTTCTCAGTGTATTAAACTCATACCCGACAGAAGCAAACTCTTAGAGCAGGATTACGAAAAACGAGTATCGAGATCACGAAGCATATCTACCGATGACGTTGACGACCTGATAAATTCTAATGATAACTTCGGTACCAGCAACGACAATAATAATTATTGTTATTCTTCAAGTTCTTCACCAAGTAACTTGAAGTTACTGAAGAATAATCGAAAAGTTAAATCGGATTTGGACTTGAGTTACAGGCGAAGTCATTTGAATTCCAACTTACGTTTGAAACTAAAGAGGTCTCCGTCGCCTGAAAACAACGCACTGTATTCCAGTTCTGGGTCAGCTGAATACTCCGATATCATTCTGAGGTCAAGCGATAACTCGGTAAACGAGCTGCGATGTTTAAACTGGTCTAATTCAACGACTTTGCATTCATCAGTCTCATCGGGTTACTCGTTTTCGAATGTCAGTGATGGTGAGAAAGATATTATTGGTGATAGTTATTATGATGGTTACAGTAATACTACCAACAGTAGTGGATCTATAAATGATAATGAGCAAAAAGGAGGAAAAAAAGCTTTGAAAGGTTCTGAAGATAATTTGTTAACAGAAAAAAAGGAAGGAGAAAAAGTTGAGCGTAAATCTAGCGTGAATCCATGCGCTAATAAAATAATTCAAGCGGAACAACAGGTAATTCATTCTCAGGAAACTAAAACAAAGTTTGATGATTACTGGCTAGAAGATAACGATCACTTGGACGAAGAATCGGCTTGTTGTTCGTGTTCTTGCGACAGTTACACCAACTATTGTTCCCGTCGTTGGTCAGAATATTCAATTCAGGCGTCTAATTCAAATCCCGTCGGATTGGTCAGTGAAAGTAATTTAACAGTCATTGAATCTCGTAATTTACTTTCGGATGGACCTGAGGAGGAAAATGAAAGTGAAATAAAGGGTAGAATAGGTAAACAATTAACTCTTAAGCAATCTCAACGAAGATTGACAGTCAGTCGCGAAAGTTACACTTTGGCGAATCGATTGGAAGACAGGAGTAGCAATTTAAAGTCCCAGGTTGATAACAATAAAGATCCAAATATGAAGATCCTGATAAAAATAATGCGGATTCGGGAAAAAATCATATACGGATTCAGTGCATTTGCTATTCTGTTTACTCTTCTTCTGGTAATGGACCTTCAGATGGACTTGGGGTACAGTGGTCATCATTTAGTGCCCAGTCATGGCAGAGTTAGAATGCACGATGAACTTGGCCATGATACAGTGTACACTAACTTCCACCGTAAGTTTCTCCAAAGAGTTAATGCCAGCAAGGAATTAACAGCCAGTGACAATTCTATTGGTGGTGGTCCTAACTCTAGGGATAATACCGCAAATAATGGAGGTAGTGTTGTTGCAAGTGCTGATGCTGCTGCTCCCGGTAATATTATACGGGATAATACCAAAAGAGAACCGCTACATGATGACTTTGGTGACCTTGTTGATATATTAGTTAATGCGGATAATATTGACTTAGACACTGGTGTCGTAAGAATTAGTAATGAAGATTACAGTGATAATCCTACCATTGGGGATATACGAGGAATACCAATTAGGTAAGTTTTTCCTTTTTATTCTAACTTTTATGATTTCTTTTGCAAGTTTTTCGAGTATTGGCCAATGTTCGAAATGTTATCTTCAAAGTTTTGTTGAATTAGATGATTTATTTATTTTTGTTAATATTACTTGGTATAATTCAACTCGACAGTTATTCTTCTTATTTTTTTTTTATTTTAATTTTAGTTTTGTTTTACTAAATTAATTATTCATCTGACTTTTGAAAAAGACATTTGTTTGAATATCATAAAAAAATAATAACCAAAAAATGTCGCAGATTATTAAACAGGATATTCCTGATGAGTATTGATTGAAATTTTATTATAGAAACTAGAATGAACATGAATTTTAAAGCGTTTGTTAGTATTTAAGTGGATTCCCAAACAATTCTATTTTTCGACGATGTTTGAAATATTTAAATAACTTCAATAATATTTAGCAAAACTTTTGGATAATTTAAATATTACCTAGCAGTATTTTTAGTCAGGTAATTTGTAATTACAGATTAGTAGAAATAGAAGGTCTACAAGAAATTTACTTTATTTAGAAAATTTTTATCGTTTCTCGAAGAAAAAAAAAAAAAAAAAAAAAAAAAAAATTAATTATTATAATTTTATTTTTTGTTAAAATTCAGTTCTGGAATAAAAACGATTCAACGGCATTTTATGTTTACAAATAAGAAAAAAAGTAAAAAATGTCTGAAGAAAACAGTGAAAATAGATATGTATATGGTATGTTTTGCGCACAAATAAAAACATGAGATAATTACAGGTTTTTTAGCACTTGGCATAGTAATAAAGTGAACAAATAAGGTTTAACGAAGTTGAACTGAACGTTAAAAATAAACGATTAGCAACAGTATAGTATATTATTGTGTGATATGATAATTACCGCAAGGCGTTTTCTGTACAATAGATATAGATATCAGAAAACAAGACTACCTACTTATACTTAATAAAGTTATAAAGTACAGTGGTGTTCTCTTTGTAAGAGGAATTTCAGTTTCACTACTATCGGTCTAGTTAGTTTTGAGTATTTAAATATAAACTTATACTTGTGCATAAATATACATATACACGAACTACCGTTGGGATTATAAGACGCCAAAGAGACTACCAAGTTGTATTATGTCAATGAAAATAAATTAAATTCGGGTCTTCTTACTTGAATAATTTATTTTAATTGAATTTAATTCGAAGTAATACTTCCCCTTGAGTTATTTCACTTCAATATATGCACTTGAATAAGAAATTTTCGGTCATTTTTTTTTTTTTTCCATTTATATTAAAGATAAATCATTAAAAAATATAAATTTAAAAGATTCAAACATCAATTTTCAATAAAAGTTTTCTTCTAATTAAAAATTTGACTGTCTAGAAATAAATAAAATTCGTAGAGCGCGCAGCTATTAAAAACTTTTAACGGTTCGCAATTTTATAATTCATGTAACATTCTGTACTTACGACGTTTCAATTTCATTTAATATTTATTAAAATAAATTACTCGCGTTATTATTCATTTAAGGGCAGTAACTTAAATTAATTACGCTGTTCATTTTTTAACCCATTTATTAATATGTATACTTCAAATATATACTATAAAATCACCTCGAAATTGATAGCTATAAGCGAGAGAATTTCAATTAAAATTATAATGATAATTATTCGATTTATTTGAAGTATAAATAGAACTGTTCAATGATGATGTGAATATTTAATTTATAAAAAATAAATATTTATATCGACAGAAAGCATTTATGAATATCAGCATTTCATTTATTAAATTTTATCCTTTGAAGATTATAAAGGTTTTATATGCGGATGTAATATGCTATTCATAAATCCGTTTAATAACTTCAATTACATCAATTCATTTCAATTGAAATATCCTTTCAAACTTTTAGTTAAAAAATAACTCTATTAAAATTTTAAACAATTCATTGAAAAAATATTTTTAAATTATCGTTATTATTTTTCTTTCTAACAAAATAAGTTTTAAAAATTTTTTACCGTTGAAAAAAAACCCATAAATATTTACAGTAATTTTTTTTCGCTACATTCATGAATAGTATTTAATTACAATCCTCTATAACCAGACTGGCCATTAAAGATTCGCTGTCTTACTTTTAAACACACAACGGTAAACACCACAATCGAAGTAATCAATATTGTTAGCTAAAACTACAATTATCATTTTTACCGAAGAATATCTAAATGATCAATTTAATTATTAACAGTAACTACTATTTGCTGCATAACAGTTATTTCCTGTGATTATTATGTGATGATTATCGTGAATAAACTCCGTACTATATTTATATACCATATATATCCAACAACCCTTGCTTAGTTGAATCCAGATAATCGTTACCGTTGAAGCATTAATTCCTTCGATGCTAAAACTTGCAAGATGAATAAACAGTTGATTAGTTTCAAATAAACATTGAATACATCAGTACATGTTTGTGCCAGTAAACGGAAACCTATTGATCAAAAATTATACTACTAATAACGTTAATTGACAAGTTTGTTTTGACAAACATCCTCTAAAAGCTCGAGTATATCTTGATGGTTCGACCATTGAATTGTAAACAGTAAATCCAAGAGCGAGGACTAGACTGTTGTTGTTGTTGTTGTTGTAGACATTCAGTTGCATGTGTTGTTGCTGTAGTCATATTCACAGACAACGTTCTGTGTTTTGTGTCATAGAAGCATTGGAGATGCAGCATTGCTGCATTGTTTCTGAAATACTCTAGCCAACAATGCCATAATACCCTATTTCTGGGGAATACTGTGAATAGAAATACACTGGGGATGATACGATGAGCCCGCGGCTAGATTTCGCGACAGAATTCAAGAGGGAAGAACATGGTCATGGGGTTGAACTATTATATATACTTGCACTAGTACTAGTACTGTTATATAGACTAGAAACATGCTACTCACTACTCACTACTGTATACTGTTCATCGCGATGTAGTGTTTGCATAGAAATAATTCACGAGTCTTGGACGAGTAAACTCCAACTTCTGATGACGACTCATTAGCTTTTATACAGATGGTCTACCTGTGTGTACACATTGTGTTTGTACAGATCGCTTTACATTGATACCCGGAAATCTTATTTGTTCGTCCTATCGTTATTTTAGTGGATAAAAAAACTGTTATACAGTTTTGTTTGATGTCTCGACTTTTTTTTTGTGATGAACATGGAAAATAAGTCTTTTACTACTTTTTTTTTTTTTTCAAACTCGGTTATACTTGATTTGGTAAACAAAATAAAAAATTTTCATCGTGGTTTTTTTTATTATTGAAATTTCAAGTTGATAATTTATTGCACGACTCATGATGCGAAGCATCAGAGAGTGCTTTACGATCGAAAAATTTGTTTTGCCCCGATATCGCAACTATTTATTTAATTACACGATTGATAATCTACGTAGCTTAATTAATTTGCGCATCATTCGATAGATAATTTAATGGAGATTAATTCTGTCACTGGTAAAAATTAATTTTAGATAATAGAACCAGAAAAAAATATCAAAATAGTTAAATGAAAATTCGTGTCAATCAACTCAATTTTCCGTTAAAAATTCAATCAGTTTTTTTTTATTAGCTTGGCATTCCCTTTGTGGAGACCTCCATTGGAGATGGTCATCTTATTTAATGTTGTTTAATTGTTATTAACGAAAAACTAAAATTAATGAAAAAATCCACACTTGAAATGAAAAAATAAATAAATTGTATTTAAAAGTATTAAAGAAAAAAAAAAAAGTAGCAAACAAAAAAAATAGTAATATTTAAATTAAAAAAAAAAATAAAATTTAAACAAATATTCTATCAGAACATTAACTATTTTTTTTTTATTTATCGAACGAATGAACATTATGAGTCGTGCACTTTTGGATTTGCCAAACTTTAATATAAAATATTTTTAAATATTCATTGAAAATTTGGTACCGGAGAAACAGAGTTCGAATCCCGACAGCATTAAAAATTAATTAATCATTTTTCGAAGCTAAATATTTTTCCAGTCACTTTAATTATTTGTTTGAATAATTTTACATTTTTGTGTAATAATATAAAAAGTCTGCTGAAGCTGTATTTAAAAAAAAAATTTTTTTTATAAGATTAGTCGCATCCTTATAAATAATGGAAAAAAGTACTTGATTATGGTATAATAGATATATAGGTGTAACGAAGCAAATCATGGACGATCATAAAGTGAATAGTACAGTATAGCAAGAGAAATCTCGAGAATTCATGACATAGACAGTGACTAGTAAAAAATCAACTCGTGGGTTGAGCTAGAAGAAAAAGATTCATAGCTGTTTTCCTCGTGAAAAATACACGATTTCCATTGTCCAAGAAAAGTTATACCACGTGAATTTATGTATCTATTTATTATATCCTTTATCGGAAGATAAACAATTTTTTATTTTGTACTTTTTGATACTTCTCTTAAGAAAAAAAAAAATTGTTTACTCTGACTATATTTTCCAAGTTAAACTGTACTTTCACATCTAAAAAAAGTTGAGTAAAATTTCGTCACCTGCTTAGTATTCAAATAAATAAGGCTAAGATTGAATAACACTTGATTAAAAAAAATTAATTATAATTATAATTATATATAATCAATAAATAGTAAATGTTAAAAAACGGAAACATGTTCATCGAGTATCGTACAAAGTGAACAAAAAATAAATTGGATGTTTAATAGCGCCGACACCAGTTAAGTACTCTTAGAGCTTAATACTACTCTTGATCATCAAGTGTATCGGGTAGGACAAATAAAAACCTGATTTTGCTTGACGCGTGAAAACACATAATACCACATACACAACCATCACTTATATGTATATGATGTGACTTGTATGTTCAGATGTTATGTCGTAAGAAGGTAAAGTTGATTGAAGTGAATTCTTGATCACGTACACGCAACTTTTACATTTAGTTCTATTAAAGCAACGGAATTTTCTACGTTATTACGCTTTATTGCAGAAC